TTTTTTTTTTTTTTAAAGACCCCGCCCACAACGCTAGCCCTCCCCTCCCCCCCTCCCCGCCCTCTGCATTTTTAAGTAGGATTATGAAAAAAAGGTCCCGGGGGGGGGGGGGGGGGGGGTGAGGGTGACTCTCTTTTTTTTCTGTTGGGGGGGGGGGGGGGGGGCAGTAATCCCGACTCAGCTGTTATCTTAATCGCTTTGAGGTACACACGCTGTCGTGCATATTTCTATGCTCTTGCTTGAACTTCATTTTTTTGGTCAAGTTTTTTTGATGAAGGTCACTTGAATTAGAAAATGTAATTATTTTTTTTAATGTTAAGTGTTTAAAGTTGTTTCTGCTGTTGTTTTTTCTTTCAAAGCTATTCAAATTTCTCAAGAGATTCTCATCATTATGGATCTCTCGGTCAGGTGCTTCGTGAATAAAGCTCCAACATCGTCAATTCAGTACCTTGGTTACACAGAGACTATGGCGCTTCATAATCATTGATTCTTTTAGTAAACACTTTTAACTGTTTGTAGAATTATTTCAGCTTACTTTGTGTAAAGGTACAAAGTGGTAATTATCTTTGCGCATTCTTAATGCGCACATATCATTCTGTAGAAGCGCGCGCCATATGTAACCATTTCCGACTGTCGATGCCTGTCAGCCACTTAAATGAACTGTTTGATCGCACTAGTTGCACGATAAAAACATTGATTCGGAGATATCTACTTTCTGTTTTATTAAATTGTTATTTTGACCTGCTTTCTTTTTGTGCGCATATTCAGGAGCTGATAATCGGCTCATGACATACTTAGTAGCCGAATTACTATTAGGTATGCACAAGAGATCATGATCCCTTGATATGTATTGAAAAACTTTTTGAATGCATCTTGAAAGGAGGAGAGCTGGGACCGAGCATTGCATTTGCTTACTCGCGCAAACGAATTCTCTAACGAAAATTATCATCCGTCTCAAACTTTTTTTTCTTCCAGCTTCTTTTTTTTTGCACGGGCAGAAAAACCACCTTGTTTACTATATTTCGCTGTTTAGTGTTAACCGATGCCGTCGAGTTAGCTTCTAATATTCTAAAGTCAATTTATCAGTTACAAAATTGCTATGAGAATAGTACGCACGTTAAACACATTATGATGTAAGAAGACAATTCGAGCATAAGGAAGAGAAATTTTTCCACAAACTAGCGTGGTCATGACCCATGTCTAAGTTTACAAAGTTTTTAAACAAGGTATGGATAAAATTGTTACTTTCATTGGTTTTATACAAAATGCCGTGGCACCATCTAAAAGAAATAGAAACTCCAACAGAACTAGCCTTTCGAGTGCTAGAGTATTTAATGATTCTTTTCCGAGAGCTTCTGCCAGCTTCCGGAAAGATGCTTTTGACAGCGGATTCAACTCCGCTAATGGAGGTCTCGAGGATACCGCACCCTCAGGCGAGAACAAGATGAACAGAACGAAGGCTTGCTCTTTTACCGAGCAAGGATTGGATACACTCCGAGGGGAGGTACGCGAAATTGAACCTCTCAGATGTGGACCTTCGAAACGATCAGCGAACATGAGCTTTGACGATGGACTGACTAGTACTGCTGTTTTGCCTCCATCTGTTATTCCCATGTCAAGTGAAACTCTTCACGGTGATCTCAGCGAGGCTGTTGGGAAAGACACGCCAGCAGGTGTGGATAGCAAGATGGAAGGTGATTCCAAAAACAAAGCCAATTTACCAAGTTTGCACGGCAGTAGGCTGCTGTCACCAGGTAAACAGCACAAGAATCAGACCAAGGATC